GCGCGGGCCGCGGACCGCCGGCGGACCTCGAAAAGCGGTGACGTAAGATCGCGTGATGCGCGGCCCGCGGACCAAAACAGCAATTTGGTCCGTCGTGTGGATACACCTTAACGAAGACTTTTTCGAGAATAACCCCCTTTCTCCGCAAAGTAATCGCTGCTCACGAGTTGGCGTGCATAGTGGAACAAATTAAACGTGTTAGTATAAATATATACCAACACTCGTTCGCAAAACATTTTTTTACTCACCATAACAACACTTGCAAGGCTTATGTACCGTCATATGTCTTGGATCCCGGACTGCTGAAGAGTGATGCGTTCGCGGAATGCTGCCGTCGGTTAGTTTAGTAGTCCCTCTGAACTACCGCTTTGCTTGACGTGCTAGTCGGTTGATGGTGCGTCATTAATATAACAGCCGGATCGAGATGAATGTTCAGCAGAACTAAGCAGAACTATTAGCCCTCATTAAGCGACGTCGTGGCCATTTTGCTTGTAGGTACTGCTCCTCCCTCAGCGTCCCTGCTCTCCCAGTCAGGTGACCTAGAATTCCCACTTATAGGGACAATAGTTAACTTTAACCCACGGTTCGCGTTCGAGATAACGGGCCCTGGACGATACATTTTCTATTCATGACCCATTAGAGAAACCCGGGTCTGGAAATTCGAAAAGAAATTTTACCACATTTTTAGGCAATTGTATTGCATGCTTGAGACATTCTAGCATCACAAACGATTAGCTATAGGCAACCTGCAATGCTGTTTGGTTTGGCGCTATCTAGCGACTGAAGCAAGAAACATTGGGTATGCCTGGGAGCGGCGGCTGCATTGTTCAAACCGTTCAATCGTGAGCTATTCCTCTGGTGGCGCCGCTTAGCCTAGTGTCTGAAGCAAGAAATGCTGGGTAGGCCATGAAGCCGTGATTATATAATGTGCCAGTACAGCAGAAGCTACTGCCGTGGCGGGCCAATCGGAACGTGACTATACGTATCACCGGAGTGCGCTTTTACTGCGAAGAAGTATCAGGCTTTTCGCTGTGTCATGCTTCATGTGCATTCTGCTCGTACACGTAGCGCATATTAAAGCCGTCGGCACGCAATGTTGAGTTTATCGTTCACCTTCTGCCATGTTACAACAAGACAGGTGGGCTCCTACTCCGCATTTGCCGCCTGACTGTTGCCGGCTGGCTATACTCAGAGTTTCCAGACATCAGCCACCTACGTTCACGGCGCTCGTCATGAGATAGTTCAACGCGTACCATGGTACACTTGTTCCTAGAATGAAGCGATACTACAGCTAATCGGGCCGGCTAATAAACCTGGCGATCATCTAGAGCCTTCCGTACTTTCGAGCTCCTCCTAAACTATCTCACTCCTCCTCGCCTACCCCTCTGGTTACATGACCTTCGTGTTAAACAATCATCGTCGAGCACCTCACTCGTCCTCTTCCAACTGCCAACTAATCAGTGTCGAGCCTTGCGGCCACGCTTTTATCCAGGCTTCACTTTTGGGCTTCACGAAATGCCGAAGACTTTGTCAAAGAACGTTTCAAATTAAAATTGCTAAAAAGTTAAGTAAAAAAAAACACTTCTTGGGTTGTATGTTTCATAGGCTGTAATTTCATTACATTACATAGCATTTCTGTAATTATCAGCGCCTAATTCACGAAAAAAAAAGATACGTATAAAAAATATTCATTAGTTCTCGGCGTCTTCCAAATCGCGCTCAAGCCGCAAAATCGAGTCGAACCTTTGGCTACTTCCGCTCTACTTGGCGGACGCCACCATCTTGGTCTTGTTTTGAAGTAGTGTTTTTTCCCTGATTTTTACCACCCTTCAAAACTGTGTCCACCGCGTAGTTTCGGGTGGATCTGCGCTTTCCCGCCTCGCGGTTGCGAAGCCGTTATTGGCCAAAGTGTGACCTCTCTTTAAAAGAATAAATTTGAGCTCTCCCCAAGTACAACGGTTTTTTTAAATTAAATGTGCATAGTTATTATGTCGCCTGCTATAGGCTGTCGATTAAATTATGGTATGCTAGAATTATTGCGCAAATCGTCGTCATACAATATTAAAAAAAAAAGAAAATGAATTTTATTTGGTTATAGCAGAATTTGATCTGCGCATGATGTTATTGAAGTGATCAAATTGAAAATCAAAGTGCTGAAGCCTGTAAAAATGAAGAAATAAATGGACAAACCGAGAAAGAAAGCTCGCCAAACTGACAGCTTAACTGTCGAACGTGCTCAAATAAAAAAACAACAACAAAAAAACAGGAAGAACTGAAAACAAAAAAGTGAAAGCCGTTTACAACTCCCTGTAACGCCGAATTGGAGTACAGCTCTTGAGGAGCAGGGAAGGGTGCTGAGGGGAGGGTAGACCCCTCCTCCTCCTCCTCCCCTCATTCTTTAATATGCTCCGGGGGGTCACATGACCTCGGGGGAGGGGGTCACATGACCTCGGGGGGGAGGGGTTGTCGCGTGACTTCGGGGGGAGGGGGGTCACGTGACCTGAAGAGGGGGGCCACGTGACCTTGGGGTGACCTTGGGGGTCACTTTGGGGGTCACGTGACCTCGAGGTTACCTTGGGAGGGGTCACGTGACCTCCGGGGGTAACGTGACCTTCGGGTGACTTTGGGGGGGTCACGTGACCTTGGGGGGACCTTGGTTACGCCGACGCCGCTCAAGCTGGAAACGAGCGCCTGAGAGCTGCGCTCTAATATTAACTCGCCAAACTGGTGGCTGAACTGATCGCACTGTCAATTGAGCTGGCGAAACTGCTAGCTGAACTGGTAGGCGGTTTGCGAAATTTTTGAAACTGGTAATCGAAATGAAGTCTTTTCCGGGACGGCGTCGGGCGTCTCGAGCTATGCTCGAAGTGTGATAGTTATGGTGTATTCGCACGGCGGAGTTTCTTCCCCAGGAGAAGAGTAAACGTCATCGAGTTTTGAGGTCACGTGCCCCACGTCATGGATGTTCGCTGATCCCCCGAGCTCGCGGTGTGCTCGCGGGACCCGAGGAGAATCTGCGACAGGTCTACAGAATATCCGCCGTTCCTTCGGTATCCGTCGGAGCAACCGGGCCCCCTCTTTTGTCCCCCTGCTTTTGGGGAGAGATAATGATCAATAGCTTTGAAGTGTGGGGTGCCTTTTCTTTGTTACTTTTGCTGCCTTTTTGTTCGACGAGCCCCCGAAAGTCGCCAGCAGGCTTGAAGTGTGGGATGTGTTTTGTTTATTATTTTTTCCCTGCCTTTTGTTCAATGAGCCCCGAAAGTCGCCAACAGGTTTGCGAAAAGAAAAGCTCCGGCGACTCAACTACATGCGACTCCGTCGTGCGAATACTCGCTTGGATATTCTGCACTGCCTCCTCCTTCTCGTGCCGTTTTCTTCTCTCAGCTCTATGACGTACCCGGCTTTCTCCGGGGATAAAGATCTCTCGTGCGAATACACCATTAGAAGAGCAACGGAGGTTCGCACTATTTGCGGAAGTGTCCGATTGGCGTCTGTAACAAATCATGCATAACCTACAAAAATAGAACTCCGTCCGTCCGTCCGTCCGTCCGTCCGTCCATCCATCCATCCATCTAATCCATCCAATCGAATCAATCAATCCATCCATCCTATCCATCCAATCAATCAATCCAATCCATTCAATCAATCCAATTAACCAATCAATCCAATCAGTGTTATTGCAAAGTTCTGGAAGAACCAAGGGCTTCTTGCCCCTGACTTCACTTCCGGTTAGACTCGAAATCGAAATCAACATTGTCGTCTGCTATCAGTGCCTTGCCGCCATGTTAGAGGCATTCGGCGTCTTACTGCGGCAGCAGTAGTGTCGTAGAGGCGTAGAGCCGTCTTTGTATAACCACATTTCAGAATATGTTCTTATCTTAGTCAATCGCAAAGAGATTCCTCACCTGGCACAAAGTGCAGTCCACAAACCCTTAGTGGTGGCACGAAGCTTTTCTGTCGAGATTATAAAGTTAATATATTAATCTAGAGCGAAAGGTCCCATGCATTTGCCCGCTTCGGAACGGCGGGGCATAGAAGCGGTCATCGGCGTTATATCGCTGAAGACGACTTTATATGCACGAAGAAGCAGCACATCACCTGTAAGGTCTGTACCTTGTTATTTTCTCTCTTACTTTCTAGAAAAAACACCAGAATCGCGCAATGACGAAGGAAATAAACTTGACAAGCGCTCGAGCAAATTCAACTTGTCGAGGCCAAACGAAGCCTAACCCTTCGTGTGCTTTCTTTTTCTGCTTTTTTTGCGTCGCTTTCTTTCTCGTTCTTTCTCTCGGGGCCGGAGATGTTATAGTTCCCATGATTTGCCGTGTTCTGCTCCCGTCTTTATGCGCCTGCTCGAGGTTCTACGGGCGTATCCGTCGGAAGCCATTATGATGATGATGATGATGATAACGCCGGAGAACCGATTGCTCGAGCGTCGCCTTGTCCTGGTTTATAATTATTCCCTGTACCCTAGAAAATCCAATACTGCTGGCCGTAGCTCCGTTGTCGTTGACTTTTACTTCTGGAACAATTCATTACGGCGCAACTGATTATTTAAACGTCGAGTGAACGGACAACCTACAGTGCGAACACGGTCCCAAAGTATACAAATGTAGGATAACAGCGACGATGGCCTCCAGCATATGCTTATAGGTTATAAATTTCAAGAAATGTTTCCTAGCTGTATTTACCAAAAGGGCAATGATTGCTGGATCGCCCTTTTCAGTTCTTAGGGTTAACTTCTGAGTAACAGCGGTAGCTTAAAGCGTCTAGGCCTAAAGGTGACGCGGCCCAGGTACCTTCATTCTTGACAGGAGCGTAGTATTTCCTGTTTTTGTTGACATTTAAACTAAATACTAACTTCAAGGGGGCGCTCACCTTGAAGCCTTAAGATTCCTACTGAGAAGGGCGTCTCTGTTTTTATTGATAACGCGTAGCACTAAGGGAAAGGGCACAAACTATGTGCTGCCCAGGATATGCCCGTAGCCACGCTTAAATAGCGGGAGAGCATGGAAGCATCGCGGTACATCCGAAAATATCCCTACCCTACGCTGCTATGCTGGTACGAGAAAATCCAGGTAAGAAAAAGACAAGTCCCGTTTTAACGCGGGTTACATGTACGGAAGCTTATACCCAATTCACACGGCAGCTCAAATGTACCTTTGGCTAAGGTCCCTTAGCTGGAGGTACCTGTAGTAAACGGCGTTCTTGATCACACGATAAATAAACGGTGCACTTTAAGTTGATGTCAATTGCATTCTTGCTAAACCGCCAGAGGAGCACGTGATAAACAATTATTCCTCAAAATCGATTTGACGCGCAATTTTTGATTATTCTGCGTGAAATATCACATTTCAAACCGAAATATTATTTGTGTTTGCTTTTGCGGCACTTCATTTTCTTTTTCTCTAAGTCTAAGGGCGCACCTAAGTGAGTCTCGCTTTAAAACGTCCGACCTGTCTGGCCACACTGGCCCTAAATCATCTGCGGTTACGAGTTACCATTGCTACATGGGCGACCTTTTCCGCTTAGCAGCTCCATTTTTCCGCAGTTCTCACAAAAGTAACTAAATAGTGCCCGGCACAAACGAACCCCGTCGGAGTCTCACGGTTACGTCAGTCACACCATCGAAAGAGATGAACGACGATGAAGATAAAAGTTCCTGGGCGGGAGAATTAGACCATTCGTCCACAACCTCGAAAAAGAGCTCGCAGTGGTCCATCGCGTTCGGGTTCGTAGCAGACATTGTTTTCCGCGTGCCGCCGCTGCTACCTGCTAGCAGGAGTATGCGTTCCTCATTAATGTATTTTTCCATCGCATTCGTGTCCACAATCATTTCATAAATCCCTACTTATATATATTCAGTTTGTTATAATGTATTAAACAAGATATATTTATATATCTGTGATTTTTATTTGGAGTTCGTGGGTTCGAGGCTATTCCCTGTAGCTGTAAAGGGAGCTCGGCCAACACCACCTAGACAGAAGGCCTCCGCATGGTTTCCTCTTCTTCTATGAAACGTCATCACAATCGGATCGCGCTCGGTCGGCTATTGGACCCGAGCCCGACCTTCGACGCGCTGATTGGCCACGAGCCGCAGCCGAACACTGACGCAGCACTCGTGCCCAATCTCTCGCCTCGATCGATCTGACTATGATGACGCGTGTTGAGGCCTTCTGTCTAGGTGGTGTTGGCTCGGCGAGCTCCGTTTAACACAGGACCTCCCTTAGCGAAAGGGACCTTTATGCGCCGTGTGATCACGTTCTCCAGCTCCCTTTACGACAGGTACCTGGGCTAAAGGTACCTTTACGGGTACCTTTGGGTATTAAACTCCGACTTTGTGTATATATAAATATATATATATATATATAATGAATCAAATTCATCTGCCAATATTCGATTATTTCCTCTCTGCCATACCCAGCCATACTAAAAAAAAAATACAGCTTGGTCTTTTAGCTAATTATATATATAAAAAAAGCTTTATTTGCTTTTCATTTCGCGTTTTGACGGTACGTAACTGCCGAACGGCGAACGAAGTGTAAGATAAAAAAGAAAAGCTAATTAACGCTCCGATTTGCTTTGAAGAGCACCGCCTTTTACTTGTGTTGAGCCCCGCCTAAATCTACGTCGATGGGGTTTTGAGTTAAATGCAAAATAAGTGTTGATTGTGCTACTGTATGTCTGTACCAGCAGGATGTTAGTCTGCCTCATTTGGCGACTTTGTCTCTCAGTTGTTGATGAGAAATTTTAGCCTGTGCGGTACAACCGCTAGACTGGGGGACTTTAACGTGCACCACGCAGTAGAGATACACAACTGCACGCCGGTACGATGTTCATCCAGATCGAAACGGGCAGGGGTGGGTTTGGAACCCAGGAACAGGCCCTGTGTTCTGCAGCGCGAGTTCTGGCTCCACGCGCTCCGAGTTGCGGTGCGCGAACACACTCGGCCACCGATTCTACCTAAATACAAAACAAATGCGCCTAGAAAGCATAACATAATAGAGAAGTTGTAAATAAAACTATATATCTCTGTTTTTAAATTATTTTTAGGGAAAGGTTCGAATTAAAACTTGGTATTAAAATTAATGTGATAAAAATGACAATTTAAATAATATTGAATTTTTATTCTACAAAGAACAAAGAGCGGGTTGGATAAAATCGCCTCTATTCTCCACCCTGGTATAGACGCCTTTCTAAAGTCACGTGCCGATTATTAGAAGTTAGAAAGCACCATAGAATGGCGGAACAACTGACATCGTGCAACCTGCAAGTCTTTCAATAAAATAGCGAATGTCGAAGCGCGGCCAACGCTAGGAGCCGATGAGCCGATCAAACATCGTTCAAAGTGCGACGTCACTGTACTCATCACATTCTTTTTCTTCGGGCGTGTTCTTGCCTTCTAATCGAACCAAATGCCTAAAGTGAGCTGTGAGGTTGCGGTTCTGGCCCCCATTGTGCAGGGATTCCACAGCTGCCAACAGAGGGCAGTCTTTCGAAATTTGTCGTTCACATATGAATATTGGTACATAGATATGTTCACTTGGGAATTGGTTAGTAATGTAAATACTCAATCCTTTAAAATGACCCTCAGAGAGAGGTTACTATTCTGTAACTCGACCTTATCTCCCTTCCTTACTTTATTAATGTTGAGTGAGTAAGGAAATGTTCTGTTTTCAGGTGGGGTACCTGTTGCCCTTGCAACTCGCCATTGGCTACAGGGGGAAGGGGGGAGGGGGGGGGGGGCAAGGAGGGATTGGGGCTAAATGTAAATATCAAGTCCGGCGGACTTGATGAACTCTTTAGTGAGTCTAAAATTGCTTTTTTTGTGCTCGGGGGTGCCGTGTGGAAGAACCCATTCCTCTAGGCAGGATGGTCTTTCTGTGGCGGTAGAGCATTCAGAGCTAGTTTCGGCTTGATATCACTTTTAGGACAATCCCAGATGGCGTGTTTGATGTCTGCCAATATTTGACAGTGATCGCACATGTCAGTTTCGGAATCGTCCCCGTTGTTGCTTTTGAGGAATTTATACTTCAAGGTCGGTTTCATGGCGGTTCCTGTGCGCAACCTTCGTAGGCATACACGCTCCCACCGACTGTGAGATGTCGATGGAAGTGGGTGTTCGTCTCGCCTGCGAAGATCGGCGCGTTTTGGGCTTCTTTCTGGTCGTTCTTGGGCTTTTATTTCAAATAGGCCGATGTCTTCTTTGATGACTTCATCTATGACGGGGTGCACTGAGCCTTGGCCGGGTGAGACTGCCTGTAGATTGTCCCGTGCGGCTTCATGTGCCTCGTCGTTTCCGTGGATACCTTGATGTCGGGGTATCCCATCGTATCTTGACGGTACGGTCTTCAGCCCGAGGTTGTCGGGCAGTAGCCTTGATGCTTTTAACCGTTTTGCTGCAGCTATCGTGTTGTTTTTTTGTTGTTTTTTTTTTAAATTCTCGTACGCCATCTTTAGAGTCCGTAAAGCCATAAATGTTGATTTTATGTTTTTATTGTTTTACACTCTCGACCGCCGTCCTGATGGCTTGGAGTTCAGCCTCCTTGACGCTGGTGGTATTACTGCACTTGACATCTTTCTTCTCTTTTACTACCTCCTCATTAAAACCTCAGTTGTGAATCAGCGCTCTTTCCTTCCTGTTGGCTCTTCCTTCTTTACCTTTTTTTGCACTGTTAAGGTCAACATGTCTCACCAACTCGCCCAGCAACTCATTTTGGTGTTGTTGAGGCACTGCGCCCTTTGTCGTGTATACAAATGACTTTCCTCTTTCGCTTTCCCCTGACGTCAGTTTACTCGCTTATGTATGCAGTAGTTATAGTTCAAAGAGCCATGGCGAAAAAAGGTGGCTTACTATATTTAGCTTGCAAAGTGATCTAGCCAAAATTACCGAGTGGGGTTTCAAAATAAAATGAACTTACGATTGGAGAAACAATAAACTCGACAAAGAAAACAAAACCACATCTTACAACTATGATTTTTTCAGCTTAATTCCAGACGCAACCGACACTACGAGATAATGGGACCAATCAAGCTGCTTCATAAGCGCAAGTCATTAGGTATTCTTGTTTTGATTGGTCTAGCGATGGTAGAACACATAGAAAGACATTGCGAAGACCATGATGGTGCCCTTTTGTCGCTGCCTGATTGGTCACATCAACTCGTCGCGTCGGCTTCGTCTGGACTAGAGCTGAAACGAATTATAGCAACGGACATTTACACCAACACAGCGTTTCCAAAGAAGCCCGCTTGGGCCACACCAGGTGTGGGCATTGCGCGTGCGCAGAAACGAAATTCGGGAGAAGTGAAGCATCTGCGCATGCGCAGTACTACCGACAGCAGCGCCACCGCAGTGGCGTGATGTCAGTGAGTTGAGTTGGTATATAGGAATTCCAAAAGCGAGCAACCCCCGAAAGGCGGGAAAATCGAGAAAAAGGAAAGTGAGTAAGGATAGAGAAGGGAGGGAAGAGACGATAAGATAAAATGCGAAGTCGGATCGAACGAACGTCACCTCTCATTTGAGAATTGCAACTTCAGTATTCGTCAGAAACAGTGAGAAAACGCTGTTGTTTGCCCTGTTCATGCCGAACCACTCTATGATCTCCCGGCCAAATGGGCCTCCTGCGCTGAAGTTTTGAATAAACTGTGGAGCGCTCATTTTAGGTAGTACAAGCTCATCTGATTTGGGCTCGCCCTACTTCTGTCGCCTGCGCTGAGCTTTTCTTTTTTTCTTTTTGTATAGTGCTGACGAACGGAAAAACACCACTGAACGTCGAAAATCGGCGAGATTGAACACCGCAAGACACTCGATAGTTCGATTCATGTTACCACCGCTAGGTTGTAACGCTGGGTGGTGACGTCAGAACAACTAGCGTTCCGATGGTTCTTTTTTACTTTTTTCCCGAACACGTGACGCAGCGTTTCTTGGCTCACGCTCTTATCGTCTTTAGAATTTTTTTTTTTTGTTTTCGTTTCTTTGTGCTTTTTTCGATATCACGTTCCGCACCAGAACAGGCACGCTTCTACATATATGGCAGTTTTAGACGCTCAAGATTGTACTACCCAAAACAAGTCCTAA